GTTATAGGTCAAGTGTGTTGGGCTGAGCCACCCACTGACTGGTCTTCTAAGAGAGATCCCAGTGCCATTGTTCCCCACTTTATTCCCATCTACTTGGACTGTTCCTGAATACCTTCAGGTGTGTCATGTCCTCCCGTGACATTCCCTATAGTATACATAAGTTTCACATCTAGCAGGGATGTTGGGAGCCCCTCATAATGGGCACAGGAGGTGTACAGACCCGGGAACTCAGCACAGGGATGGTGGGAGCCCCTCATAATGGGCACAGCGGGTGTACAGACCCAGGAACTCAGCACAGGGATGGTGGGAGCCCCTCATAATGGGCACAGCGGGTGTACAGACCCAGGAACTCAGCACAGGGATGGTGGGAGCCCCTCATAATGGGCACAGCGGGTGTACAGACCCAGGAACTCAGCACAGGGATGGTGGGAGCCCCTCATAATGGGCACAGCGGGTGTACAGACCCAGGAACTCAGCACAGGGATGGTGGGAGCCCCTCATAATGGGCACAGCGGGTGTACAGACCCAGGAACTCAGCACAGGGATGGTGGGAGCCCCTCATAATGGGCACAGCGGGTGTACAGACCCAGGAACTCAGCACAGGGATGGTGGGAGCCCCTCATAATGGGCACAGCGGGTGTACAGACCCAGGAACTCAGCACAGGGATGGTGGGAGCCCCTCATAATGGGCACAGCGGGTGTACAGACCCAGGAACTCAGCACAGGGATGGTGGGAGCCCCTCATAATGGGCACAGCGGGTGTACAGACCCAGGAACTCAGCTCAAAGGCGGTGGAAGCCCCCTCATAATGGACACATGTGTACAGGTTGGAATGTTATTCCTTTGTATGGCCACGCCACCTCCTCAATACGTCATAGCTGAGCAACTCTGAACCAAGGACAAAAGCCCCGCCCACACGACAGATCACCAGAATGAGATAACAGGGAGTCAAAAAGCGAATTATAATGATAAAAGACCACCTTAAGCTGCAACGTACACATCTAAATGAAATGTAAGAGCCCATGGGAAGCCTCCGAGACTATTTTTATTTTCCCGGGCCGTTAGGGCGGATTTACTCTTTGAGCGGTGCCCTGCAGGAAAGGGCGAGCAGAGCTGTTAATTGTACAGCTTGTTTGCGAAATTGAATAGAAAACAGCGATTAAGTCCATTTTTTAATGTGACAAAAGAAGAAGAAATAAAAAAAACATAACGTTCCAGTTCGTACGGGTCTCCGTGCCGCGGCCTACTCAGTCGCCATGGCAACGCAGCTGCAAGGCCTACCGCTAAGGGCTCATTACCCAGCAAACAATAACAGTATATGCGGGGAGCAGGGAGCCACCGGGAGAAGGAAGCTTGAAAGGGGAAGGAAAACCCCTAAGATGAAATGACTCAGCTAGAAAATGACATTAATTATACAATAAAACAAGGAACGCGGGGCATTTCCAAGGCCCAGAACGGGCGCCGAACACCGAGAGAGCAAAACAAGCAGCAACGACGGGGGGAATATGAATGGAATGAATATGAAAGGAAAGAAAGACGAAGGAAGGGGAAAGTACAAAAAAAAAAAAATGCCGCAAAAATAATTACACTTGGATTCCGCTGAGGAGATAATTGGAGTCCCCGAATTAGAACGAGATATTTTTAATCAACGGGAGGCTGATTATACACCGCCAGTGCTGCTGAGCCGGCTAAAATCAAAGAAGAGAGCCTCGGAAAAAAAAAAAGAAAGAAAGCAAGGCGCAGGGCGCGTTTCGCAGCAGACGTGCTGACATATTGAGAGACGGAACGATCAGCTACGCCGAGCAGCCTCTGCTTTTATGGGGTTTTTTGTTTTGTTTTTATAATTTGTTTTGTTTCCATCTTGCCAAGAAAACAATAACTGCTAATTAGGAAAGAGATTTCAGATTTAGGAACGAGCCGTAAAAACGTGCTGGAAAGTTGGACTTTCCCCGGCAACTGAAAGAGAAGAAAAATGGCCGCTGTTTGAGAGTTAGTGAATTATGAGGCGAGTGATTTTCACTCAGCCTCATAATCTGAGCCAACCTGTGACAATGAGACTGTCACAGGTCGGCTCAGTAGATCGGGAAGTGAGTGAACACATACCGTGGCTCGCTCACTTCTCGATCTGTCCCTGCAGAGAGCCGTGACTGTCACTCACGGCTCCCTGCAAGGACTCCCCTGTCCGATCCTCCAGCGCTAACTGGCGAAACGGACAGGGGAGGGGGTGGGAACAGCTAGCTCTGCCTCTGGATAGGCAGAGCCAGCTGTCAGTCGCGCAGCTGGGTGGATCCAGACAGTACTGTCGGGATCCGTCCCGGCTGCGGCGTCTCAGTATATCTCGAGCTGTAGCCCTGACCCCATAGTTCTCCTTTAAAGGTCCAACGGCCATCTTTGATGGGGCAGACGCAGGCGGGAAAAGCAGCTAGAGAACAATATCAATGACATTATAATGTATAGGCCATAGCTTATGATGTAAGGTTAGGGCTGTAGGTATAGGGTAAGGGCTATAGGGTAAGGGTATAACTGTAGGGCTAGGATGTTAGCAAAAGGGTTAAGACAGTAGGGTTAGGATAGGGATGTAGGGCTATAGTTAGGGCTGTGAGGTTAAGTTTAGGGTACTTAGGTAAGGGTATACCTGTAGAGCTAGGGCACAATGTATAAGGTTAGGACAATAAGGCTAGGATAGGGCTGTAGGCATAGAGCTATAGGGTAAGGGCATAACTGTAGGGCTAGGATGTTAGCAAAAGGGTGAGTACAGTAGGGTTAGGATAGGGCTGTATGGTTATAGTTAGGGCTGTGAGGTTAAGTTTAGGGTACTAAGGCAAGGGTATACCTGTAGAGCTAGGGTACGATGTATAGGGTAAGGACAATAGGGCTAGGATAGGGCTGTAGGGATAGAGCTATAGGGTAAGGGTATAACTGTAGGGCTAGGATTATAACAAAAGGGTGAGGTAATGGGGTTAGGATAGGGATGTAGGGTTAGAGTTAGGGATGTGGGGTTAGGGCTATAGGGTAATGGTATAAATGTAAGGCTAAGATTATGGCTATAGTGTTAGGACAATAGTGATGGGATAGGACTGTAGGGTTAGAGCTATAGGGTAAGAGTATAACATAATGGCTATAGGGTTGGGACAGTAGGGCTAGAATTGGGATGTAGGGTTAGAGTTAAAGCTATAACGGTAAGGCTAGGATTATGGCTATAGGGTTAAGTCAACAGGGTTAGAGTAAGGGCTGTCGGGTTAAGTCTAGGGCTCTTAGGTAAAGGTATACCTGTACAGCTAGGGCACAACATATAGGGTTAGAACAATAGGGTTATGATATGGCTGTAGGGTTTGAGTTAGAGATGTTGGGTTAGGGTTATAGAGTAAGGGTATAACTGTTAAGGTTAGAATTATGGAGATCGCATTAGGACAGTAGGGTTAGGATAAGGTTGTAGTTAGCGCTGTGGGGTTAAGTTGAGGGCTGTAGGGTAAGGGTATGTAGAGCTAGGGCAAAGGCTATAGGGCTAAGTTAAAGCCATAGGGTTAGGTCTGTAAGTTTAGGTCACAGCTGAAAGGTTAGGACAGTAGGAGTAAGTTAAAGCTGTGTGGTTTGGGTTAGGTTAGGGTTGGGTAGGGCTTTTTTGAATCAGTGTAGGATTTGGGATGTAGGGTTAGGATTAGGTTAAGGCTGATGGGCTGGAGCTTTAGGGATAGAGCATGCAAGTGGTGTTAGACTTAGGATTGGGGCTAAAGGACTAGAGTTAGGACTATAGGGTTAGAGTTAGGTTTATAAGGCTAGAGTTAGGACTAGAGCATTAGAGTTAGGACTAGAGCATTAGAGTTAGGTCTATAGGGTTAGAGTTAGGACTATAGGGTCAGAATTAGGACTATAGCATTAGAGTTAGGACTATAGGGTTAGAGTTAGGTCTATAGGGCTAGAGTTAGGACTAGAGCATTAGAGGTAGGTCTATAGGGTTAGAGTTAGGAGTATAGGGTTAAAGTTAGCACTATAGGGTTAGAGTTAGGACTATAGGGTTAGAGTTAGGACTATAGGGTTAGAGGAGTTAGGGCTATAGGGTTAGAGTTAGGGCTAGAGCATTAGAGGTAGGTCTATAGGGTTAGAGTTAGGACTATAGGGTTAGAGTTAGGACTATAGGGTTAGAGTTAGGACTAGAGCGCTAGAGGTAGGTCTATAGGGTTAGAGTTAGGACTATAGGGTTAGAGTTAGGTCTATAGGGTTAGAGTTATGTCTATAGGGCTAGAGTTAGGACTAGAGCATTAGAGGTAGGTCTATAGGGTTAGAGTTAGGACTATAGGGTTAGAGTCAGGTCTATAGGGTTAGAGTTATGTCTATAGGGCTAGAGTTAGGACTATAGGGTTAGAGTTATGTCTATAGGGCTAGAGTTAGGACTAGAGCATTAGAGGTAGGTCTACAGGGTTAGAGTTAGGACTAGAGCATTAGAGGTAGGTCTATAGGGTTAGAGTTATGTCTATAGGGTTAGAGTTATGTCTATAGGGTTAGAGTTAGGACTATAGGGTTAGAGTTAGGACTAGAGCATTAGAGGTAGGTCTATAGGGTTAGAGTTAGGACTATAGGGTTAGAGTTAGGACTATAGGGTTAGAGTTAGGTCTATAGGGTTAGAGTTATGTCTATAGGGCTAGAGTTAGGACTAGAGCATTAGAGGTAGGTCTATAGGGAAAGAGTTAGGACTAGAGCATTAGAGTAAGGATTATAATAAATGAACATCTTTGTGCCGGGAGTTCAGCTTTAATTTTTAGCATTAGGGTGCATTTTCCAGGCATAGTAAATAATTTTTTTCACTCACTGAAATCCATCACTTCCAAAACTACTGCGCCAATTCCATTTTGCCGAAAACATACCAACAACAACATGAAAAGCAAAGAGATTGAACTTGAGATATACTTGGAGAAAAATGAATGTTTATACAGCTCAGCCACCTACGTTTTCCTCTTCTCCTGGTCCAGACGCCCTGCACTCATCAAGAGCCGCTCACTCACCATAATGCCGGTTAGGAGACAGACGCCTTTCCCGCAGTAGGTGTTTGGCACCATGTCACCATAACCAATGGAGAGAAACGTGATGGAGATCAACCACATGGCACCCAGAAAGTTGCTGGTGACATCCTGCTGGTCGTGGTACCTGCGGAAGAAAGAATGACAATGAGACGTTTGTGTAGGCCCGCCCGTATTGCTGTCGCTCTCAATTACACTGTTCAGCCGTAACCTAAAGTTTAATCAGTTTATATTTTCCCTGCCCCCCCCCTCCCCCCCCCCCCCCCTCCATTACCCTATTAAACAAAATCTTCCC